AGACTATTACTGCTACTACTGCTACTAATGGTAGTAGCAGTAGTAGACCTATGTGTTGTCGGTCATTCATTCTATCCACTTTTCTGCATATTTTACAATTTTAATTGATTGTGACTGACTAATCAACCAGTCTATTTTTATATAATGCTTCAAACAACGTTTATCTACAGTATTCATAACAAATCATAGTAGAAGTTATTATCATACCCAGACAGTAAAATACCTTCTTTTTTTCTCCTTGTCTGTCTAGCAAATAACACACTCATGCATGCATTTCATCTCATTTTATTCACATTCTCATAGCCTATGTACTACTACTAATGAATACTACCACACCCAGTCAACAATATGTATATATATCCTCATTTTATCGATTATTATCCCAAAGTGTCATCATATATATGTATATATGTACGCCCACCTCGAAGTACATCCATCTACATATATATGTATAGCTTTTGAAGTTCTATGTTGCATACACGAATATGTTGGCAGTGAAATGTCATTTTTTATTCCGGGCTGTTGTTGTCGTTGTTGTATTCGTCTCTCTCTCTCTCTCTCCTTCTCTCTTATTGTCTTTGTCTCTTGATCGCATTTTTCTTTGTTTTCCCACTTAAAAAATTATTGTTTATCTATTCGTTTTTCTCCATTGGATTATGATTTGCCATTGCTACTGTGTATACTACTGTTGTCTTTCTCCAAAATAAATAGGCCGTTTTATTAAGAAATGAGAGAGCCTTGAAAATATGTTCATTCTCTCCTTCTAATATTATTATTATTCCTTTAACTTCACAGTGGAACATATGGCTTTAACAGTACGTATCTATTTAATTCTCTTTTCTGCAGTCATCTTTAACCGGCACCATGATTGTCTATAAGCACTTATCTCACCCTCATACGACCTCCTTCATGTCATTCTCTGTACCACGTCCAACACGTCGTTACCCATTCGAGTTCCTATCGAGTGCCTGGTCCACAGGCTCTCTTTAGCGTGTGTTCTATTCAGCTGTTTATGTTCTTCGGAATGTTTGTTAGGGTTGTGTGGCAGAGTTCTTTGTTGATAATTCTTTCTGATTGGCCATCTAATCTTCATTATGGAGGGGAGGCATCCTTGCATTAGATCCTCTTCGTTTCATTTTTTTTTGAATTTTAGCATGGTTTGTGCAAAAGACATCGAAAGTGGAATTGATGTCCTGTAGTGGTGGCGCATTTTGTTTCATCGAATTACAGGTTATGCATAATGATAGTGATTTAATGGAAAACAGAATTGGGCTTGAAATATCCAATTGTTATAGTGTTAACTTAAATCCTTTTATCATTGTGTAAGGATTCGTTTGAAGTGACGCTACCTCAAGTAAAATGGCCATATTTATTAAATACGAAACAAATAGAAAATCATGAAAAATTCCGTTAGGTTTGACGTATTGTGAAATATAATAAAAAGACGATTGTACGTTATTAAAACATCTACACCTCACCAACCAATTTCGATCACACGGGGACAATTTGAGTCTACAGACTCCTAATTGTCATATCCTGGATATGCTTAGCTAGCTGTAGATTTTTTTTCCAAATCGTAGAAAATACCCATCAGGACATTAGAGGGAAGAGAAACAAGAAGTTCAGCAAAGATATCTTTTCTGTGGTTTCATTCTCAAAAGCTCTACTATCGCATTTATTCACATAAGTGTTTACATTAATCCAATTATTATTTAATTCCACATAATTAACGAAGGAGATTTAGAAGTGTTGATAATTTTTAGCTTGATATGAAATTTTTAAGGTGTGAATATAGTCACAAGCAGCTTAGATTTAATAATAAACCTGATTCTGTGGGAGAATTAGTGCATGACAGCTACACATAACGCATGTCACAAAGACCCTGAGTGATAATTGTTTTTTTTTTTAACTGACTTACCTATCCTACCCTATATGCTGCTACGTGTAACCCCTATGTATTGCTTAGACCAACATACATAATTCCTTTACGTTCCCAGTGGAACATAGAGCTTTAAGCTAGAGACTTGAAGTTTCGGTAGCAGTGGTGTTCGTTTTTACAGGATGGAGTTGCTAGTCTCACGCCCAACCTTCCCTCTTTACATGTCTTGTTACTGGCTTAGCGAGGTAAAGGAGTGCGTCGGCCGGGGATTGAACCCTGAACCATATGTGTGGTTGGCGAGCATCCTGCCGCTATGCCACCGACACATTTTGCTAGATCAAGGTGACTGCAAAATCAACAGTGATTTAGTGAGTTACCTACAGGTTTCTTGATTCCTTTACTTTGAATGACTATCCTTCATATTCAATCAGTTAGGTTGTTATTACTTCGAGTAAAGAACAACATGAGTAGTGTATAGTTATGTGTATTAAAAATTATGGTTTCAGTGTTTATTACTGGAGATTTTATGAGACAAACATATTTATTATCATAGTTCACGAAGACTGAAAGAAATCTAGGGATATTTTGGTTTAGCGTAACGCCAAAGAGAAGTAGCGTTGTATGACAAAACTAAGAAAAAGCCTCCGTACTGAAAATACATCGAATTCTGTAACAATAAATTTTGACTCTCGTTTCGAGTATATGTTTCCCCCGCAATTGACTAAAAAGATTGTAACATATCATGACAGAACCTAACGCCTAACTCACTTAATTGTCTGTCATTCTAGGCGGTTAAATAAATTAAAACTTTAGTTTGTTACTTGTGATTGAATTATGAGTTCCATTACCGCGGGCTGCTTTGGTGATTAGTCATATATGCCTGGACAATCACTTACTGACAGTTCAACTTCTCTGACCCTTGATAACCATTTTGAGGTGTGAAAGAGAATTGTAAACAAAAATGAAGTTAACATGCGTCACAATTCCTCGGTGTAAATTGACATGGCTTCTTTCTCTCAGATTCGGAATTCGGAAGCCATACTTATAAGTGCAGAACTTCTCAGGAAAATAAAATAGGTTTTGGTTTTTGCACTATCCTTGTATTAGTTATTTTAGAATTGATTTATTTCTTCGTAATATCTAATATTTCAGTTATATATATATATATATATATATATATATATATATATATATATATATTCAAATGTCTAGATGCATGCAAACAGAACCATTGTGTCATATATTCAATGTCATATTTATAGGCTATAGCTAGTCATCATGTGATAGTACATGTGAGAATGACTGTTAGTGTCAATACTTTTACTGCATTGCATAAATGGATTGCAGATAGAAGAATATTGAGTTATATAATACTAATTCTCACTTATCAATTTATGAGAAAAAATATTATCTTATTGAATTTCAGTACAAATACGTACTACTTGTCAACATTTCAAGCTTCTAGTATTCTTTTATACAAGAAAGTATTTTCTATAGTTGGTTTATAAGGATTAGTTTTGTTTTTACAACATTGGTTGTTGGTTGCGCTAAATCATGATTTGGTAGAAGTTAGAATTCATGCACTGGCTGGCCGTTGAATCGGGGCCCAGTGGCTGAATGGTATATGAGCTTTCGTTGCAACCGAAAGGTCCTGGGCTGCAACCCTGGTGGTGGATGCGTACTGCCGATGATTCCCAAACTAGGATGAAACAGCAGCTGTCCAGTACTCCCTGGTTTTCAATGGTTCTCTAACTAATATCAATCCGTGATCAACTCGTAAAAACAAAAATGTATTCTTTCTAGTATCTCTCTTACTAAAGTGGCTGCTGATGGTTAGGTATACAGTCTGTTTGTCTATCTATCTGTCTGTCTGTCTGTCACAAATACTCATAAATTTAAGTTTCCAAGACTCAAAGAATTTTGTGACTGGCGACTAACGTTTGCATAGCTGTAAAAATTATTCTTAGTGAGGCAGATACATTCACGTTTTTGTAATCTGATAAATCCCCTTTTTCCTGAATCCTATTAGTATTTCTTCCGCACATTTATGTTTGTTATAGTGTGGTAACTTGGACTGCTGTGCCTTTTTTTCCAAGTTCTAGGTAAAAAACTCTTTCAGTTAGCGTATTAACAAGAGAACCATGTAAGTGTGGTCATATTGATGCTGGAGAATAAATAAAAACGTACGATAAGCTAAGATGCTAGGGAGACTAATAATACACTATAATGAGATTTATATCAGTTAGGTAAAATGATTGCATTAATTAACGTACGGATTGTCGACCATACTAATATACCCATCAGTTGCATGTCATGCTTACCAAGTAAATAGAAACGTTACAGGCTCTATGATCGATATCAGTCATTACTAAATATGTAACTACAGTAACCACTTGTTCGACAATAAATCCACGCATATTCAGTGATGCATGATCATATTACCTAGCCATTGATTGATTGGTATGCGTTTCGAGGTTAAAGTCCGTAACTCACTGGTTTACTTTGTAGTGTTCATGAAGGAGGAGGTATCACGTTTTCGAGTGAATGGTTTTGGAATCTACTTCATTACGTCTAATATGAAATAACTATATTGCTTTATGTCTCATTTGAGTCAAATTTGTTCTGTTTCTAATTTAAATTTCTTGTTCTCATGAAAAAAGGCAGATAAACTGTGTAAAGTGGACTGTGGATATCTGGCTTAGTGGTTTATGCACTTGACTTTCAGCCAGTCGGTCACAGGTGTTAGAGTCCCACTTCACTTACCTCAGCGTAGACATCTGGTGTCTATCAACAACCCATGTACGAAAGGGTGGCATATAGCTGGGTAATGGATTGGTTACTGGACAAAAGCATTTCCGAGCTAACTTGACATCGCAACCTGAAGGTTCTGAGTTCGAACCCTGGGGTTGGCGTCGTGATCATGCTTTGTTGAAGAGTACCAAACTAGGACGAAAGAGATATCCAGTGTTCTTTAGTATTCAATGATCTTTCCAACTGATGTTGGTTCGTGGTGAGACCTACATTGAAATTAATCCAAATTTCTACATATACTCACACTTTGAATAAATTTGTTATTAATACTGTTTTAAATATCACTATTAGTATTTTTCTTTTATTGTAGGCTGAAAAACTGGTCGATTTCATTGATATGAAAGGTGGTAAAAATAAACAGTCAATTAAGGTGAAGACGAAGAAGCAGAAGAAGAAGGAGGAGGATTCAAAAGCGAATGTTGTCCAGCCACACGGAGATAATGCAGTTAATACCCCACAACAGTATTATCTGAAATTTCGTTCATCTGATTCAAAAGCTGCTAAGCGATTAGCAATACAACTGTATACAATACACAATACAATTATACAAACTTCTAGTGGTAGTAACAATAGCAGTAATAATGCTGCTATTACAACAAGACAGCATAATGAAGAGAAGTCAACCTCTGAAACACTGACACGATTCAATCGACAATTCCGTGACACGTGAGTAGTGTAATTCGTTTTTTTTTATTTTTGCTTTTTTCTCCGAATACTTCATACAATTTCTTACCAATGAGAAACTTGAACAAAAGAAGGATAATAAATGCTCCTCTGGGTTCCTAGTGGAACATAAGGCTTCAACTGCACGTCTCCATTTGCTTCTGTCTTCCTTCTGCTGTACTTTTCACCTGCATCCATGTTATTCCATACCCTTTCAACTCCTCCTCACACAATCTCCTCCATGTCACCCTTGCACTCACGTCCCACTTGCCGCTTGCTTCCCTTTTTTGGTTTCACTCGAGCAATGGCCTGACGCGCGCGCGATGTCACCCAGCGGCCTCCTCAGCCACGAGTGTCCAATCCATCTCTACTCTCTCCTGCATATTTGTTGGGCGATAGGTTCTTGTTTTCTTTGTTCCCAGCCACAGTTTCTTGTTGGTGATTCTTTCCGGTCATCTGATCTTCAGTTTAGAGCCAGTGAAGGCAGTTGTTGATAAAGGTCTGCAACAGGTTGTTGGAAATATTCTTTGTGACCCGCCCGCCAAGTTTCTGATCCGTATAGAAGAACTGACGGACTTGACGTTTGTATTGAAAATCCGACTGAATTTTGTTGTTGATGATGGCTGAGTGACGAAGATTTCCAGATTGGTTTCAGGTTGATGAGTAATGTGTTTCTCGCCTTCCCGATTCTCGCTCGATTTGACATCCTCGTCCGTTCCGACTGCCTATAGTTGAGACAATGCTCCCTAGATAAGTGACTGAATGAAGTAACCTCCTTCAAATCCCTCCCATTGATGGTCGTTGGCACTGGGTGTTGCTGCTGTTGTCCTTGTTGACTGGTTATTTTCATAACCTCCGTCTTGTCTATGTTCACCTGGAGTCAGTCCTGTCTTCGCTGGCTGCTTCTTCGACCAGTTTGTCGGTTTTCGCTTGTAAGTCTTCGATTTTGTGTGAAATCAAACATAAATCATCCACGCGCGAAATCCAGGTCTCCTAGGTTCTTCGCGTCGGTTCAGGATATTCCTGTCTTCTCATTTCTCACTGTCTGACGAATAATCCAGTCCAATACAATTAGGAATATCATTGGTGATAATGAGCACCCTTGTCTGACTCCTGTTTTTATTCCAAACGCCTCGCTGAGTTTTCCGTTGTGGATCACATGACATGTGCCGTTGTCGTACAGCGGAGCGAGATAGTATGTGCTTACTCTTATCACAATTACTTTGGAGATTCTTTTCAACTGCCTACAGCGTGAACAATATCATTATGAGTAGAGAATGCCTGCTAAGCATTTACCATAATGGATAATCTCTGGCATCAATAAAATATCTGTTAAATATATAAAGTGGCATTCAACTCTCTCTTACCTTTATAATTGGAAAATAGCAAAGAATAACAGTTTGTATGAAATGGCTATAGTTCTCGTGATATTATAGTCAGTATATAGACTGAGGTTTTGTCCATGGTCAAGTCATTTCGTTTTGAACCATGTATCATACGCACTGAGTTATATTGCCTTCTTTAATGAGGAATGTTAGCTGATTTACGATAAATAAGTTAGTGTGTGCTTGCTTTACAGCGTAACGCCAGTTGATGAAGACTTTGTTCTTATCCGAAGTCTTCAGCAGTTTAAGAACCAACAGTTTGTAAAGGAAATTTGTTTTTCAGAATTAGTTACAGGAAAACGCGAAACATCTTTGTAAATATTCCCTAAACTACTAATACTACTATCGCCCTCCTTCCAATAAGAAAAGGCTGCCTATTATCACCGATGATATTCGTAATTGTGGTTGACTGGATGCGCCAGACTGTGTACAGGGAGTGGGAAGACAGGAATATGTTGGGCCGACAAGAAGACTCTAGAGGATTTGGATTTCGTGTGTAGATGATTTATGTTTAATGTCACGCAAACTCGAGGACTTGAAGGCGAAAACCAACAGCATTCAGAGAAGACCGGACTGCAGGTGAACATGGAGAAGACGGAGGTGATGAAAATCACCAACCAACTAACAGCAACAACTACAACAACTGGCACTAATCACTATCAAAAGGACAAATTTGAAAGAAGTCACTTCGTTCACTTATCTTGGAAGCATGGTTTCAACGACAAGCAGAACATATGAAGATGTCAAAGCCATTCGGAATAAGAAGAGCAAGATTTGCCTTCATCAACCTGAAACTAGTTCAGAAATCTTCTGCACTCAACCAGCATTAGGAACAAGATTCGGATATTCAACACAAATGTGAAGTTAGTCAGTTAGTCCATATGAGCCATAAACTTGCACTGTGTGTCAGGAAAAGGCTTTCCAACAGGTCACAGACTTTTATCAACAGCTGCCCCACTTGCTGGCTCCATACTGAAGATCATATGGCCTGCTAGACAGAATGAGTAACAAGAAAATCTGCATGCAACAACCCTACTAGGGGCCGATTGCTCAAAAAATATTTAGAAAAAAATGGAGATGGATCGGGCATACGTTTAAGAGGATGTCGAATGACATCTTGCCCAATCAGGCCATAGCTCTAGTGGAACCCCAATGAGAAGCGACGAGTGGGTCGTCAGCACGAGGGTGATATGAAGGGGATTGTATGACTAGTTAGAGTAGATGAGAGATTATGGGCAATGGTGGAGCTGTCCAGCTGAAAAGGATAGCAGAGATTGGAACAAAGTGGAAATGTGTTATTCAAGCCCTATGTTCCACTAGGAATCCAAGGGAACAACAGTAATAGTAGTAATAACAGTAATAATAATTGTTCTCCTTCCGATCACATTCGTATTTATCCATATTAATAATATATACCATCATTGTGTGTATGTGTGTGTGTGTGGACTTTAGTCAATTATCATAATGTAGATTTCCCTGTTTTTGTTTTCTGTCCTTCGTTATCTATGTGCCTGAATTTGTTAGTGTTTTCTATTGGATTTCAAGTATTTCTATTGGATACTATCATGATTATTATCATTACTATTATTATTACTTTAATAATGGACAGCTGACATTATTGTTGTTGCTTTTGTTGTTTCGGATAATTGGAATGTAAACAAAGAACTAAAAGTGGTGGTTCTTGGGAAATTTTCCCCTATCTGCTCTATCTATAATTCTCAGTATTGCTTCTGTTCTTATTCTTGTTTTTTTCCCATTTTTACTTTTATGACTAATGTATAATAAAGTTGAACAAAGGCCTTCAGTTATGTCTACCATTCGTTCTCTATCGAAGTTTATCTTTTGCTTATTTGTAATGTGACATTTCATTATCAGTATTTCGCTTTGTATATCGTCATGACTTAAAAATATTTGCTCGCTTGATTATTCCAAATAAGCCTCTAATCTCTAGTGTATCTAACTTCGAGTATGTCACATTATTGCACATATAAACATGTATATATATATATATATATATATATATATATATATATAATGTTCATTAGACGTTTATCTTGAAATATGGAAGTTGAGTTTCGCCATTCAAGTTGTCATTTTCTTTTCAAAGCGAAACATAATAACAGTCCTTGAATTCAGTTGATTTCTCTTCGGAATTTCTTGTGGTGGAGGTGTTCCTCATAAAAGTGAATGGGCGAATATAAATGTCTGGCGCTTACAACTGGACCGGTGGACATGCGGACTTACCTAGGTTGACTGAAAAACTCTGATTACAAACCTATGGTATATGGATGAGCTCCAGAATCCGCAAGGACTGATTGATGTATGAAACTGTCTCGGTCACTGGCGACCATGAGAACGCAGCTCCTGACTCTGTTCCACTTCCTTGTAGATCAAACTTCAAGTCAGAAGCTCGAGGGGGGGGGAAGTGGTGGCCTCTTAAGACAACTATCTGATTCTGTTTGTGTGTCCAGACAGTATTCCCACCCTCGCACCCATAATCTACCAGGTGTCTTTTGTAACAATATTAATAAAATTGTTTGGGTAGATGTCTATGGTACGTTAGTGATCAATGGTTAGAGTTTATTGATGACTTGATTCTATGTTCAAAATGATTCAGGTGTATTCACTCCTTTCTACCATTCAGATTCTGAAGAGCTTTGCTAAATCTTTTATTGTATTATAGTCTGTAACTCAGTTATTTTCGTTTTTCTTAGTATTATTCTGGTCACATTCCTTTAATTTCGCGGGCTTTTTTGAAGTATGGTTGCTTGCGCTTGATGCACTTCGGTGTGTATAGATAAATACTCTATCTCATCTTCTGACTTACGCGTTGTTTTCCTATCTGAGTTCTCACATGTGTAGTTAGAGAGAATATGAATAAATTGGAATACAATAGGCCGCATGTGACCTATACAAACTTTTCAGCTTCCCTTAGTAAAATATATTGCTGCTGAAGATTTCCCAACTAGGACGAAACAGTTGTTCAGTACTCCCAGATTTTCCAGTGGTTCTCTAACTGATGTCAGCTCATGGTGAAATCCTCCATTCAGTCAAACAAAATCCCTACAAAACCAGTACTTGAAAATTAATCTGATGCTCACTAGTGACTGGCCCTATTCAGGCAGTTAACCTGAATTTCTATTGGGAAGCCTTGACCAGTAGGATACAACAGGTCGAAGATGAGGCAGTAACATCGGAGAAGACATTGCGAAGTGGTCGCGCTATTTCGTGAATCGGCAGAAGTTAGAATTCAAGGGCCATTGGATTGGGTCCCAGTAGCTCAATGGCCTGCGAGCTCGCCTTGTAACCAGAAGCCTCTGGGTTCGAACCCCGTGGTGTGGGTGCGTACTGATGAAGATTCCCAAACTAGGACGAAACAGCCGTCCAGTACTCTCAGGTTTTCCAGTGGTTCTCTAACCCTAACCAATACTTGAAAATTAAAATATTAAGTCCTAAATACAATCAGTCGGTATTGAATGAAACTTTTTATCATTGGAAAAAAGATGTCTGCCAACTAATCATTCTTACTGAATTCTACTGTTCACATTTTTGATCGGCAATTTTGGCTGAGTCTGTTTGTATGTCAGACATTTTATGCATCATATTCACTCATAAGTA